TAACGCGAAAACCTTACCCTAACCCCCCCAAACCTAACCCTAAACCTAACCCTAAGCCTAACCCTTAACCTAACCCTAAACCTAACCCTATACCTAACCCTAACGCTTAACCTAACCCTAAACCTAACCCTAACCCTTAACCTAACCCTTACCTTTATGTGAATCGGCTTGCTGTAAAAGCGCTTTTTAAAGCGCCCTTTTTTTTCCCGCGGTCGTATTTGTCGCGTTGCTGATGACGTCAGGTACGTGCTTTAATCGGGCGCGCTTTAGTGGACCGCGGTTTTGACGGGTCATGGAATTTTGATCACGTGGCCCTGGGGATGCTGCAAAGGTCGTAAGTGTGAAACGAGGTTGTAAGTCACTTTTTTCAGCGCTAAGCGAACCATCGTAAGTCAAGCAATACCTGAGGTGTCTTCGCTTTTATTCTTTTCTCTTTTTCACGAGACAGAAATTAGACTAACGTGTTTCCAGCCCTTATTTAAAAGAAAACATCTAAGAAGGATCCTTATAATTTCTTGGAGCTATCCGGTACAGATAGTCCTCAACTTACAATGATTCATTTAGCGACCATTCAAAGTTGCAGCGGCACTGGAGAAAGTGACACTTACGACCGTTTTTCCAAACTTACGACCATTGCAGCATTTCCATGGGCACGCGATTCAAATCCTGACCCTCGGCAACCGAGTCACAGTTACGACGGCTGCAGCGTTGCAGGCTTACGTGATTCCCTTTTGCGACAAATCAAGTCAACGGGGAAACCAGACTCTCTTAACAACTATGTCACTAGCTGAATAACTGGAGCGATGCACTTAATGACCGTGGTAAGAAAAGTCGTAAAATGGGGCAAAAATCACTGACCCAGTGTTTCACTTAGCAGCAGAAAAGCTTGGGCTCCATTGTGGCCGTACGTCAAGGACTACCTGTATTTGTTATTCCTGGCAAATAAGTAAAGAGTCGAAATCTCACAGGTTACCTAGCTCGATTCTGTGCAGGCTAAGTTCACATGAAAAGGCTCCCCTCCTGTGAAAACAGATATTAAATGGTTTTGCCCCGAGCTTAGAAAGTTTCTTGTTGTTTATCCCTCCGAAACAACAACACATCTTTATTAAATTCCTCCAGTCGCGCTGGAGAGACGGTGGAAATCTCAGGCTTGGATCCCGTCTGGGAGAAGTTTGAGGTTGGTTCTGTTTTGTGTTTTGGTCCCGGGGGAGGCAGCTAACCCGGAGGCTTTGTCCTTGCCACTAGCCAAGCCAGTGCCAGGCCAAGGAAAAGAAAAGGGCTCTCTTATTGTCTGCATTCTTTCGGTCTAATAATAGACCTCCAGGGTTAGGGACTTGTTTGTATGGACTCTCTGGACACGCCCTCCGAGCCTCTTGGGCAGGCTGCTCGGATGCCACAGACGGGGAAAAACATCTCACCGGAGAACATAAACAAGTCTTTGGAGAATTATTTTTCCTATTCCATGCGGGAGAAAAGTGTTTAATCTGTCTCACTAAGTGGTACAAATGCAAAAGCAACAAGAGATTCATTCTCTCTCTCTCTCTCTTTCTCACTCTCTCTCTTTCTCTCTGTCTCTTTTTCTCTCTGTGTTTCTGTTTCGCTCGCTCTCTGTTTCTCACTCTCTGTCTCTGTTTCTCTC